GCAGGACAATAACAAGTTCTTGGAACAACTTGTAACAGCTCAACAACCTTGTAGCAAGTTGTCAACAAGTCATTGACAACTTGTCAACAAGATGTGTTTGCCACAGGCTTGTGTAGCAAGTTTGTCAACAAGTTGTAACAATGGTGTTATTTTATCAAATTGCTACAAGGTTGTCATTCACAACTTGTTGAATTGCAGGACAATAACAAGTTCTTGGAACAACTTGTAACAGCTCAACAACCTTGTAGCAAGTTGTCAACAAGTCATTGACAACTTGTCAACAAGATGTGTTTGCCACAGGCTTGTGTAGCAAGTTTGTCAACAAGTTGTAACAATGGTGTTATTTTATCAAATTGCTACAAGGTTGTCATTCACAACTTGTTGAATTGCAGGACAATAACAAGTTCTTGGAACAACTTGTAACAGCTCAACAACCTTGTAGCAAGTTGTCAACAAGTCATTGACAACTTGTCAACAAGATGTGTTTGCCACAGGCTTGTGTAGCAAGTTTGTCAACAAGTTGTAACAATGGTGTTATTTTATCAAATTGCTACAAGGTTGTCATTCACAACTTGTTGAATTGCAGGACAATAACAAGTTCTTGGAACAACTTGTAACAGCTCAACAACCTTGTAGCAAGTTGTCAACAAGTCATTGACAACTTGTCAACAAGATGTGTTTGCCACAGGCTTGTGTAGCAAGTTTGTCAACAAGTTGTAACAATGGTGTTATTTTATCAAATTGCTACAAGGTTGTCATTCACAACTTGTTGAATTGCAGGACAATAACAAGTTCTTGGAACAACTTGTAACAGCTCAACAACCTTGTAGCAAGTTGTCAACAAGTCATTGACAACTTGTCAACAAGCTGGGAACAAGCAGTGGGAACACATCCTGTTAACAAGTTGTTGGAACAGCATTGCTACAAGTCTGTTTTGCCAAACAAAAATTCTTGCATGAAGCTGAAAATCCCCCCCCCCCATCAGCCCATGACTTTTCTAATGTTTAGCTTCTTAGTACTAATACTGAATAAGATCATAAAGTCTTCATCATTGCTGCAATATATACTTTAGGACATCAAATCCAGGTGAGAATATTAAGTTTCTCCCAATAATCACCTCGGTGCAGAATGCTGTCAAAGAATTGGAATCGAAGGGAATAAACAAAATTATAGCTGTTGGACATGCTGGCTATAATGTCGATACAAAAATTGCTAAGAAAGTTGTTGGAGTAGATGTTGTTGTGGGTGGACATTCTAATACTTTTCTTTATTCTGGTGAGTTCACTAATTCAATGGTTACTGGACTCTGGACAAACTTGGATTACCATAATGAATTTGGTAATTGCTTATTCTTTTCAATTACTGCAGGTAAGCCACCTTCAGATGACAAACGCAAAGGACCCTACCCCTATATTGTCCATCCAGATCATAACATGTCCCTCAGTGTTCCAGTTGTCCAGGCATACTATTACACCAAGTATTTAGGGAAGCTCCAAGTCATGTTCAATGATTTGGGAGAAGTGACAGGTTGGTCTGGAAATCCTGTCTTATTGAACTCTGCAGTGGCGAAGGATCAGCATGTCTATGGTATTGTCAAAAAGATGAAAAAACTGGTTGATGAAAGAGGAAATGTATGTTAACTCATAAAGTTTCATTGTGCCCCAATGCCCGCAACTTTGTTATTTGACTTTGTCTGTAGACTACGACATAATCTGAGTGTGTAATGTCTGGCCCTCATTTCTGCTCACAAGTGTCTGTGATGCAGGCTACTCTGTCTAATGCCAGATGATTTTACACATCAAGGAGAGAGTGCTGGAGCTCAAGGGGCTAACAGAATGTATGGGCAGATTAACCCATTGAGTGGTAGCTCTCTCCTCTTGACGAGCAAATGGTCTGGCAAGTGCGTATTTTAGGAATTAAACCCTGCTCTAGAGGTGAAAACAGACGTGAATGATTTACTACTCTGTGATTAAAACCCAATCTTGTACCCAGGCTCTTTCCTTTTGGGGAAGACTCTGGGTACAAGTTGATCAAAACCTTTTGTATAAACATCTTAATTCTTTTTTAATTTTTTTTTTATTTTTCTAATTTGTATAATTATATGATTTGTAGGAGAAGATTGGCCAAGTAAAAGTACAGCTTACTGCAATGAACTGTGATACTGAACCGTGTTTTCTTGGTGAACTAATCACATCTGCTATGGTGTATCATTTTCGATCTTATAATGCCAGTATATCACTTTTCCATGGTAGTAATCTTAGAACTTTGCCAACTGATGGACAAGGTATTAGAAATTTCACACTTTCTTCCTGTAGTAACACCTGGATTTTGACTGATCATCACTACACCTCTGGGAAGAACAGTTTAAAATTGCGAGAGCCATCCAAAGCATTCAGCATTATTATTATTATTATTATTATTATTATTATTATTGAATTCGTCACAAATGTTTAAACTGACACTCGCATACATAACATGTTACAAGAAAATGTACGTACATGACTGGGATGAGGAACTGGTCTAGAAGTACTTGAGTATTTTTATATCAGTGTGAGGAACAGGATTTTCGTCCCAATGGACCTATTCCCTAATGAACAAAATTTTGATCAAGACAAGTCTAGACAAAAATTTCATCAAAGCTTGAAAGAGCATTACAAAATTAGTAAGGGACCGGTCATTATTTATGGTGGGGGGTGGCACCGAAGAGAAATGTTTTTCGTGGTAAAAATTTTGCTGACCCAACCATTAAAAAGCAAAAAATTTGATTACCCAACCTCAAGTATCAATTAAAAAATAATACCCACCCCTGGCCAAAACCTTTACAACAGAATACCATTTAGTTGTCACACATGTCCTTTACCACTTCTGTGACACAAGTTTGATAACTAAACTTTCATGTTATATGTACATGCACTTTCTTTGGAGACACCATTTGTCTCCCAACAAATCGGAAAATGATCAAGATAGTGACTCTGATTGATTCACATATTGTATTGACATATGACTGTTGACAGTGCTTTTCAGTCTCCAATATTTAAGTGAGTCATGCTTTGGAAATGACAATAACTTTTTATTACCCAACCCTTGAGTTGTTTTGTTTTTCATTTACCCAACCTTTTACTTACTCAAAATTTAGTTTACCCAACCCTTTTCTCTTCGGTGCCACCCCCCGCCATAAATAATGACCGGTCCCTTAGACAACGTTGATTTTTAAAATTACTTCAACAATGAACCATAAGATGGGTAGTTTTTTAAGCCACTTAAAATCCTCGGAGTCCGTGCTTTATGAGATATAAGAGACTCGGCTATCGCCTCGTGTTTCATATCTGATAAAGCACTCTTGCTCGTGTTTCAAATAGTGCATAACTTACTGATCGATCAATGTTCATAGGATCCACATCAGCTAAACTTGACCCGATACGTTCTCGATCAGCAAGAATTCCTTTATTGACATCTTCCGTTCCTAGATTCATTGGCAGGCATCTGTTGCGAGCTTTCGCCATACTTTTTGCCTTGCGTCTCTCGAATTTCCTGTCATCATCATCTTCATCTGGTAAAAAATGCCATGTTAGAAACTTTTGTATGGTGTGTTGTTGACTTAGTGTTGGTCTGACGCTTGTGATGTTGCTCTGAGTGTATATCCACACCAGGCAAGCTTGAAAAATATGCCTGGCCACGGTGGGAATCGAACCTACGACCTTTGGAATACTAGCCCAATGCTCTGCCTACTTAGCCTGCGAACAGGCTCTCAAGCTGAATTGAGAGCCTGCATCGATGACTAATGAATTTGAATATCTGCGTCTCAAATCGTGACGCGAAATTCTCATTGGTCAGATACTATAATTTATATGTTTCCGCTGAGCTCTATATATGTCAACTGCTGCACTATGCATAAAAAAACACATTAACTGATCAAATTGGTCTTGGCCATCTTATCTCAAAACACGAAATGTTCTGTTTTGAGAAAATAGTATTTAAAACATTTGAACTTTTGCTTGAATATCTTATATTTCGAAAAACAGTATAAACTGTACGGTCTAAATTTAGTTTGCACGGTCTAAATTTAGTTTGCACGAAAGTTGTCAACAACACCATATAAGGATATACATTCCATATTTGGAAAAACGAACGTTACGGGGCAGATATTCAAATTCATTAGTCATCGATGCAGGCTCTCAATTCAGCTTGAGAGCCTGTTCGCAGGCTACTGCCTACTGAGCTACGCGGTCAGGTCGAGTATGTGATATTTCGGAACTGAGTCTATCACATACTCGAAAATCCGTCCTGGATTTTTCTGGTAGTTGAATCCATGTCAATCATATTTTACGCATCTTTTCGTTCAGTTTGGTGCTGAGGCGTTCGGATTCTAGCAGTGCATTGTTTCAGTGGTTTTGGTTTTTTTGGGACACCCTTGTACAGTATACTGTGACTTTAAGGCCAAAAAAAAAATATGTGGGTTTCCGGTTTCCCGACCCTACCTAGCTTTTGGACGTCAAAATCCCGACCCTAAACTTTTTTATTGGATCATGGTTGTAAGTGTTTCCACTTAGAGGAAAAAGTTTGTGGAAAATTGAAATTTGAGGCAATATTAGGGAAATTTATCTTTGGATGTGGAAGCACTGACTAAACAAAATGGCGTCCGCTTATTCGGAAAATTAAAAAAAAGTTTAAAAAAAAAAGTTAAAACCGACCTACCCTACCTAAGTTTTTATAAGAAGAAACCGGAAACCCACATTTTTTTTTTGGCCTAATTAAAAAGTCTATGTTACAAAGAGGAGTGGCACCATGCATTGGACTTTACGTCCAGTTTGTGCCTTGTCCGTTTGAGAACAGCGCTTTTTAATTGCATGTTTAGATGAATATTTGTTGAATTAATTTGTACTCAATAAAGTTTAACAAACAATGATCTGGTTTCTTGCACTTCACTTGGTGGTATTAATATTTGAATGCTGTTCTTAGGGTTTGTAATCCAAGTGAGTATATATATATATATACATTTTAAGACCTGACCAGGAACGACTGCGAAAAATGCAGCACAAGGTCCTCTGGTAGGAATTGAACCTACGGCCCTCAGCAATCCACAGCTTTGTGAACTTGGTAGTACCTGTGGAAGTCGAGCTTTCATTGATTGTTTTTCTTTTCAATTTGTAAGTTTTTCGAACAGGTGAGAAGGGCTGTTTGTCGGCACAGGCTCTCTCTCTGATGTGATGACGAGAACCAGAGGAGAACAGTCCACGTCTCGAACCGTGATCTGTGGGGTTCAAAATAAAATTTAGTGCTGTCAAATTTTAAGGCTGCGGAGGTTTTGATGAATTAGCCATTCCGAAGTTGATGAGTGGACTGGGGACGAGCGTTAAAAAGTGCCCAAATTAAGAAATGAACCAAATCACTAAAAAGAGCACCTCAAAATTAGTAAGTATACAAAGTTTGAAGACGTTTACAAGAATATCCTTCACAATTTTCGAAAGCTTATTATTGGAAGGGTATTCATGGAAACGTCTTCAAACTTTGTATACTTACTAATTTTGAGGTGGTCTTTTTAGTCATTTGGTTCATTTCTTAATTTGGGCACTTTTTAACACTCGTCCCCAGTCCTCTCATCAACTTCGGAATGGCTAATGGCAGGTAATAGTCAGAACAAGAAATGAATATTATTGGGAGCTAAAACTGTGAATCTACAAGTGTGAATCTAAGTGGACGTACAAGATTTTGGAGGAGGAGCTGTATATCTTTTTGTGACAGGTTTATTCTCTCTCAACTTGTATCTTTGTTGTGGCGTATCATCGTCGTCATCATCTTCATCAGATCTAAAGAAAATTGTGAGTTTTCATTGTCACTGATGGATTTAGTGATAGAAAGTGGCATTTCTTCATACAATCCAAATTTTTCTGAGCCTCATCAAATGTGATTAATAATCCCTTTTTAACATTTCAGTGCCTGATTATGTTCGCCGTTGATGGACATTGCAGCCCTCGAAATTCTCCTCGGCACTCGGTAATTGCTGATGCAAACGCCGAGACAAGTTACGATTTTTCATAGTTTGCCTCGGCCAAAAAAAAAATGCCGAGGCAATTCCACCCGTTGTACCTTAAATTACAAACTACACCGTCTGTTCGTTTTTTTTTTGCTTAAATTTACAAACTACAGTGTTGAACTATCGACGTCGGGTGAACAACAGAAGATTTCATTCATCGCTACTTTACAAAATATTTAAATTTGAGCTTTTCAGATCCCCCCAAAACAAACCCAAAACAACCCCCAAAACAACCTCAAAACAACCTCAAACAACCCCAAAAAAACTCCCAAAACAACCCCCAAAAACAACCCCCCAAACAAACCCAACACAATTGGTCAATGGCCTGCCAGAATGTGTTGGAAGCTAGTTGGTAACTTAATCTTCTTCCAATCTGAGAACGAGGGTTGTTGGGCCTTATCTGAGACATATATAGTAGCAATGTTTTATTACCCAGACTCTTTTTCTTCTTCATCATCATCATCATCATCATCATCATCATCCTCATCTTTATCGGATTTAGTTTTACCTTTTATCATGTCATACATACTTACATAGCCCGATGGATTCTGAAAATAAATTACATCACATTCTTTAACCCACTAAGTTGTATTGTGCAACAATGTGCCCAGTACTTTATTATTCTTCTCTAACTAATGCCAAAAGGCTTTACACATCAAGGAGAGTGCTTGGCGAGTTACTGGTTGACTGACTTACTAACCAACCAACTAACCGACCAACTGGCTAACCGACTTAATGACTACAGGCTGGCTGACCGACTTACTTGCTGGCTTACTAATTAACCAACCAACTAACCAACCAACTGGCTAACCGACTTAATGACTACAGGCTGGCTGACCGACTTACTTGCTGGCTGGCTTACTAATTAACCAACCAACTAACCGACCAACTGGCTAACGACTTAATGACTACAGGCTGGCTGACCGACTTACTTGCTGGCTGGCTTACTAACCAACCAACTAACTGACCAACTGACTAACCGACTTTTTGACTACAGGCTGGCTGACAGACTTACTGACTTACTAAGCGATTGACAGACCAACCAACTGGCTAACCGACTTAATGACTACAGGCTGGCTGACCGACTTACTTGCTGGCTGGCTTACTAACCAACCAACCGACCAACTGGCTAACCGACTTAATGACTACAGGCTGGCTGACAGACTTCCTGACTTGCTGGCTTACTAAGCGATTGACAGACCAACCAACTGGCTGACTAAAGGCCAAGACACACCGGGCGTGTTTGGACAACACAGCGCAATTTTTCGATTTTCACTGACCGATAACTTTGACCCTGGATTAAGTTTTTCAAATATTTAGAATGGCAATAACATTTTGAGTTCTTTGGTCTACATATCTTTTAAAATTTCCTTTCTTTGGCTGTTTTATTAACTTTCAAAACTGAAAAATCACACTATGTTGTGGAGTTGTGTCCGGTGACATGTTATAAAATGACTGACAGACTGACTTACCATACTGACTTACCAGACTGACCTACCAGACTGACTTACCAGACTTGCTAACATACTGACTGGGCCTTACTTAGTGTCTGACTTAATAGAGCTTTCCCCTTATGGGTGAAATTTTGATCTAGATATGCCTGGGCAACAATTTCATCACAGCTTGAAAGAGCAACTTCGCAAGGCTATATTATCCGCATATTTTTACAACATTTCGCAACAAAACTTCGGAATATTACTAATTTTGTGATGTTCAGACTTGTCTAGATCAAAATTTCACTCAAAAGGGGAAAGGTCTATTGGGTGTGACTTAATGCTGGTGGATTGAATCCCTGCCTGCCTAGTGGACTTGGCTGTCTCCCTGATATGCAAATATAGTAATATACTGAGATTTTCCAGGGGTATGTGTGTGGATGGTAGAGTATGCAGATGTTATACACAGCAGTACACTCTTTTGGACAGTATGTCACTTTGGCTATAGAGCCTCGTTTTTGTGATCGAGACATTGGCTTTGACTAACGAGGCTCTATAGCCAAAGTAACATCCCCCCCTGGAATTGCTTGACATACATTGATTTAATAGCATCCAATGAAACTGTCTTTCACATCAATAAATTTATACAAAACATTGTTTACATTAGATAATGGATAAGTATATTCAAGCAATGAAATGTAAACAAAAATATTGTTGTTGCCATGGTTACCATACTAAAGTGAACTACAGGTAAGACTACTACAGCAAAATACTTGACAAAAATTTGTGATTTATGGCAAAAAATGAAGCTACTACATTAGAGAATACTTGTACATATTATCAACAGAACTACATAGATGATTTTGTGTTTACACAGTTTCTCATAAATTTGGCGGGAAATTTGAATAGCGATTGCGAAATATTATTTTAATGAATAGTGAATAATTTCATGTAAAAACTCGTGGATTTGCTCAAAAAAACGCAGCTTACCTCCCCTTGAGAATCGGTTTCAATTTCTTCCAAGAGAGCCCTTCGTTTCTTGCCACTTCCACTGCCTTGCTCGGCGTGTGGATGTAAATAATCGCCTACCAGGCCGCGGACAAGCGTGTGTTCATTCAAACTTTCAAAAACTTTACGGCTTTCTCGATGGCTCCGTCGTACTGCTTTTTGTTCGCCGTCTTTTTTTGGACTTTTCCGCTGTTTCTTTGAACCTAGCGTAGAAAAACCTTCGATAGCTACAAAATATATTCATTTCCCTTCAATATTTATTAAACAAACGCTTACTTTTAGCTTCCGCAGACGAAACATTTCGTAATTTGCTTTTATACATCAACAAACCCCGCGGGCTTGGAAGTACTTCGACGTCCAAATTGAACGACCTATTTAAAATAAATAATTTCCATACATTTTCTGCTGTGGGGAATACAGAAATATATTAAATGAAGAAAGGGATTAAGTTTTTAAGCCGAATTCGAGGCGAACTGACCGAGTTCTAGGTCTCGAACGAAGCTTCTTTGTGATTTCGGACTCGTCAACATCTTGCCGGCGCCTCCGTTTTGTCGACGGTTCTTTAATTTCTTCCTCGCTCGAATCGGTCTGTAGACAATCCTAAGCAAAGATAAACTTAGAATAAACACAAGAGAATACTATTTGCAGCAGAGAACAACCTATTCTGCCAGCCAGAAATTGCCACAGGACGCCATATAAAACGTGTGTACACCATATTGGTTCATTCACACCGCTTATAAAATTGGCGTTTTTTACCTTTTCTGTCTCGACCTGTTTTCCAGAACGCCGTCTTGTACGCACAGGAGAATATGTAGTTGAAGTTGCACCCTTTATTTTGTCGTCTTTAGTCATATTTGCTGGTGAAAATAGGCCACAATTTTTGTACTTTGTGAAAAGTAATGTCGGTTATCGGCCATTATTCCGGTAGACCGCGCCAAGTTTTGGATTACAAAGAGACTGGGCAAAGAACGCACGCATGCAATCTCGCGCGGGTTACCCTCACACGCGTGGTATTCCCGTATTCCACACGCGTGGTATATAACCTATAACGCATATCAAATTTTATTTTAATTTTTTTATCAGTTCAAAATCATTTTAAACAGCAGGCAGCGCACAGCTGCACTTTTTATTAGAAGCAATATACATTTGTAATTAACAACACAAAGAGTATTTAAAATAGTCGTCTGTATTAAAATATTAAAGTAATAAACATTTGAATCATTTGCACTTCAAAAAGTTTGTGACTGTTTTCTTTCCGGCCTAATAATAAAAATAATAAAAATAATAATAGCATTCAGTCCCATTTAGCTAGGACATCAAACGGCTCTTTTAACAGGATGAGTCCCTTTTGCAACGAGTGATGGTTTTAAAATGATTTATTAATATGCATATACGCGGCACTCGGCAGGCATCAAATTATCAAATAAACTTACTTCATATTCCGTCGCGTTTTATTAATTGATTTTTGTGTTACAGCACGTCGGCATGTTTTCGGCAGGACTGTTTCCTTCGTAAAAAGGTAAATGGCTCTCATGTGCGAGAGGAAACGAAATATAAAGTTCCAAAACTGTCAGTGTTTTGACATCTCGAGAAAAGAATGAGAACTTTGGACGTGTTATTTTCTTATCTGCTGCACCTCAAGGAGGTAGGTAATACTAAAATGTACGTGCCGGTATAAAAAATATAAATTTAAACTTAAAAATATAAATTAAACTTCGACTTTTCGAAGTTTCTTTCCTTGGTCGGGAAGATAGCATTTACTAATTCCACTTGCTAGCCAAACACACAACACAACAACAATGGCAGTATGATATGCCAGACTAAGTTTATTGAGCTCAAAGACAAAGCTACGTTCACACAGAATATTGGAACCTCTGTTTGGAACCGGAATGCATCAGTTTTCGTCTGGCCCATATATTTGTTCATGCGCAAATTCGTACCATTCATTATCTGTGTCCAACAGATACGTCCGGTTTCGTTTGAGTTAGATAGATATATTTTAGTTAATTCGGTTACGAACTCAATCGGTCTTCATAATTACCGATAAAAGCGGTATTCTATTTGTCGAAATACGATATAGAGTGTTGTTAATATAATAGAATACCATTTTATCTGCATGGCCGCGTTCAAATTACTGCCTGTATTGGCTCATTGACTTTCGCCTGTCAGTCCCTTCTTCAATTACGATAATTTTTCGCATTATATGAATTTGGGCATTTTCATCGAAACTTTAAAGTATCGGGTAGAAAACTGCTTAAATGAACTCATTTCATTTTCATTCATCAAAAGGACTACTTCATATAAATTTTTGTACTTTTGGAAAAACATGAGAACCTACAAAATGGATACAATCATAGATACAATCAAAGCCTGTTCCCTAGTTCAACCGTATCGAAACTATGATCGAAACGTGACGTACCGTTATCATTTGTGTTGATGTCATTGGACTGCTCTCTCGTAAAGAAATCTCATTGTCAAACACAGCGCTCAGTTCCCTTAGACATTTCCTACAAACCCTTCAAAACTTAGAATTTACTTGTGCGAAATTTCTACTCATGTGATCACAGAAACTTACTTTGATAGGGTACGTAAACCAGCCTGTATATTAATAATACGTTGGGCGAAGACACAATTAAATTTCTATCTTAATCATAAATTTCTTATACGTACATGCAATCTCTCTCTCATATAAACCAGGCGTCTAAACTCTAAGACCATATAATATAAAGTATATGCAGAAATCCATTTGTTTCCATAGCAAAATTCTGGCTGAGAAACCTGTTTAAACAAACCATAACAGTATAAGCAAATGCGAGACACATGCAGGCAAATAACAATACTTAAACCACGGTCAAACGACAGCCACGAATTGGACACATTTCAAGCTCCAGGATGAAGCGGATTTGACGTGTCCCAACTATGTTTTAACTTAAATAGAATACATGTGTTGGGAAAAGATTAAAAACAGTTAACTAAGGTCGCACGATTACCAACACTCATGGACTCTCATCCTCGTTTCATCCGGGATTTAGCAAATTGGGATTGTAGCCCTTGAAAAACAAACTACACTATTTGGAAAAAAAAATGCGCAAGTTAACACGATATGCAAACCAAATAATCTAGTTTACGAAACAATGATTTGGCAATGGAAACATAAATGACATTCTATACATATACATATGATAATTTTATAGCGTTTTCATAAATGATCTGATGGACGGCAAATAGATTTTGACATTTTTATTAAATTCTGACAATGTATGGGGTATAGACTATAGTGTCACTGCGCCAACACGAAACTGAAACGCAAACGGCGTCTTAGTTGCGGAACGCCAAGAGGAAATAAATTCATCCTATGAGAAACAGGGACGTCGCCATTGACACTGTGGGGAGCGGGGGTGTCCTGATATTTTGACCAAGTTTTGGCGAATATTTTGAATAACTTTTTAAGGGTCCGACTCGGCGACTCCATCAAATTCGTGATGGAAAACTACATGAAAAGTTCGCGCGAGTCAAAATAGTACTACTAATACTATAGTTAGTTGACAATGTAAACCAATTTGAAAAAACCAACCAGTGACCAACTATTTTAGCCAAATATTTGGGGGAGTTACACTCTCCCCCCCCCCCCCACACACACACACCAGTAGCGACATCCCTGATGAAAAATATTGTTGGCACGGTTTTACACATGACATTTATTAAAATTACGTCCGAAATTTTCATTACAATCAACCGCTGTCGTTCTAATGTAATGAATTGTTAGTTAAACTTATGAACGCAATGAACCGTGAATTAAAACACAACGCAATAAATTCCAGTCTTTGTCCAAGCGAAGGTATAGTTTCGAGCAAAACGAAGATAGTTTACAGCATGGCATATACTACTTATCAATCTCGAACGATCTGTGTCAGTGTTGCTAGCGACGACAACGAGACAGCTGCGAATAGTCGACCTTTCCGGTAATTACGTCACGACTAACACTGTTTTCAACTTAGGACCACCTTAAATGGAATGGATTTTAAGTTTGTTTCTCACGGGCTATGGTCAGAGAAGCAGAACATCCTTCTTCAACACATGCATAAAAAGAATTTTGGATTTTGACCAATAAATGTGGAAATAAGCTTAAACACACGAAAACGAGGCTGAGGGACCATGGGCCCCTCTTGGGGGAATAGCCTGTGAGAAACAAACTTGAAATCTATTCCATTTAAGGTGGTCCTACGTTGAAAACAGTGTAGTTGTGACGTAATTACAGGAAAGGTCTATTGACAGAGATACAACTACCTAAAAAATACAAGAGGCACATCGACGTTTCGAGCGAAGGAATTGAGCAGCCAAAAGGTTTCCTGAAGTTCTGCTTGTATTTTTCACGTACTTATATATCACTCGCAAGACTCAATTTGCAGCTGTCTCAGAGTGTACTGCTCATTTAAGACGGGAAAGCAGTTTAATATTGCCAACAGTCAAAGAGTGCCGTACTTGTCATTTTAATTTCGTTTGTGCGATAATTTACAAGTGATAACTTTAATAATACAAAATAGTAATTTACAAGTTTAATTAATTTTCTAAACTTTGCATGACCGCCTCTTTCCCAACTCTTAAGAATGAATTTGGCCGGCGCGACAGTCACCTGTTATTAAACGGCATGACCTATTGTGTTTTTATCTTTTTCTCAAATACGAAAGATAAACGAAGACGAAATTGTTTGAAAATGACTTGGAGACTTCAATGGTTGTGCTCATTTCTGATAATCATCTTCACATCACCCAATTCCTCAATTTCAAAACCAACTGAAGAAGCTCCTCGGGCATCCATTGCAGGCAACGTGACCCTAGGAGGCCTATTCCCTCTTCATTTCCCAGGAGAGACCGGCCCTTGCTCTGTTTTCAACAGCCTCCGCGCCATCCAAGAAATAGAAGCTTTGTTGTTTTCTATCGACCAAATAAACGCGAATGAAACGCTCTTACCGAATATTACATTAGGCGTAAAAGCGTTTGACACATGTGGTGACGCGACATCGGCACTGAACAGCGCCGTCAAAGAGTTTGTTCTTGGGAAAAAATGGAACTCTGATGAACATTGTGCAGAACACGAAAGGCCGGTCATTGGAGTCATAGGTCCGGGCTATAGCTATGAAGCTGTGCATATTACCCCGTTCCTAAACCTCTTCGAAATTCCACTTATAAGTTATTCTGCAACGAGTCCCGAATTGAGCGAGAAAGATGAATTCGAGTATTTTTCACGGACAGCCACATCAGACGATTATCAGATACCGGCAATTATAGACCTACTGGTGCGATTCAACTGGACCTACGTTTCGATATTGTACACGGATGAGTCGTACGGAGAAGCTGGATATGAAGGTCTGAAGAAAGAAGGGGAGAAGAAAGGTAGAATTCATCGTTTTCTTGAACTCAGTCTTTCACCATTATTTATTAACTAAAGATGATTTTCCTCGCTGAAACGAACCAGGAAACATTGCTTCCCAAGCATGATAAATTTCCCGAAGCTGGGCAAACTATGAAACAGTGTATCACAGTCATGTTTCCCAAGGGAGGACAAACCGGGAAATAATATTTCCTAGACATGTTAAATTTCTCGAAGATGGGTAAACCGCAAACCATGAAACATTGTTTCCTAGCCATTGTTTCCTGAAGGTGGACAAACCAGGAAACATTGTTTGCTAGCCATGTTTCTCGAAGGTTGGACAAACCAGGAAATATTGTTTGCTAGCCATGTTTCCCAAGGGAGGGCAAACCAGGAAACATTGTTTCCTAGCCATGTTTTCCAAGGGAGGGCAAACCAGTAAATATTGTTTCCTAGCCATGTATCCCGAAGGAGAGCAAACACTGTTTCCTAGCCATATTTTCGAAGAGCAAGTAACATTGCTTTTTTATAACTGTAGTTGTAAGTAAGATTTAAACATCAAATATTTATACACTCCTATTATAGGAATCTATTTTGCGAACAAAATAGCCGTGCCACAGAAGTATGATAAAGTGAAATTCAAAGAAATCGTCGATGCAATATTGTCCACGCCAAAGGCTACAGTCATAATTCTGTTCGGAGTCGACTCTGCGTTGGAGCCGATACTCTACATGATCCAAGAGTACGCTGGCAATAGATCATTGCAGTTCGTGGGCTCAGATTCACTTGCGTCCGCAATCAACGAAGAATTGAATAAAATTCAGCGGGTCACTCAACAAGCGTTCTTTTTCAATCTCCCCACAAGTCGAGTGGAAGGTTTCACAAAGTATTTTTTAAACTTATCCGTTCAAGGAAACGAACGTAATCCGTGGTTTAAAGATTTCTTTGAGATGTTCATGAACTGTACATTCGATAACCTAACTAGCGATAAACCTAATTGCGACCCATACCTAACTTTAGGCAGCACGGATTACTCAAGCCAAGTCAAAGATTTTACCCAGAGTGTACCGCTTGTCGTGGATGCGGTTTACGCCTTCGCACATGCTCTAAACTACTTCTTAGAAGCATGTCAGAAAAATATGAGTCAAAGTTGTGTACCGCTCAATAAAATCCCTGGGGACCAAGTGCTGAATGCCCTTCGGAAGCAGGTTTTTCGGAGTCCTTCGGGATCCGTCGTGAACTTCACGAAAGCTGGTGACGTCATGGGTAGGTTACCATGGTTACTTCATCTTTCGCTTTAAATTCCATTGTTAAGGTTACACTACACAACCTTTGCCTAAAACTGTCGCATGCAACCTGCTTACAACTTGAGTTATACTGTGTAAATCAAGCATACAACTCGTCTACGACAATTAGCCATTCCGAAGTTGATGAGTGGACTGGAGACGAGTATTAAAAAGTGCCCAAATTAAGAAATGAACCAAATCACTAAAACGACCACCTCAAACTTAGTAAGTATACAAAGTTTGAAGACGTTTACATGAATACCCTCCGAATAATAAGCTTTTGAAAATCGTGATATTTACTATGAAATGTATTGTAATTTTTGTTTTTGGGACGCGCGTCCCAAAAACAATCCTTTAATCAGTAATTTCACATTTTTCAAAAGCTTATTATTCGAAGGGTATTCATGTAAACATCTTGAAATTTTGTATACTTACTAATTTTGAGGTGGTCTTTTTAGTGATTTGGTTCATTTCTTAATTTGGGCACTTTTTAATACTCGTCCCCAGTCCTCTCATCAACTTCGGAATGGCTAATGTAGCGAGTTGTGTGCTTGATTTACACAGCTTAGTACAACTTAAGTTGGAAGCAGGTTGCACGTTTTAAGCAAAAGTTGTGCAGTTATAAATCGGCCTTTGCAAAACCTTGACTTGACTAAAATCTAACAACCTACTTTAACCACTAGGTGTCTATGACATTTTCTACAATGGCAAAGTTGACGGGAAAAAATACGAATATGCCAAAGTCGGTCAATGGAGAGGACTTGGGCAAAAACTTCAATTTCCAGACTCCGAATGGGAAAAGAAATTCTCTCCGTTAAAATCAACATGTGAAACTGTCTGTGACGTGAATCAATACCGAAGGAAGTCATCGAGAACACCTTGGCACTGTTGGGAATGTAAAGATTGCAAGGCCGGATCCTACGCTGTGAATGAAACGGTTTGTCACGAGTGTCCCAAAGGAGAGAAGCCTGACATAGCACGCAAGCTGTGCGTGGAAATTATTCCTGTATATTTGACTGTCGATGGAAAGGTCGTCTCGTTGTATCTGGTGGTCCTACCAATGGTTTTTGCTTCCATAGGTCTTGTAGCAGTCTTGTTCGTGTTTGGAATATTCGTAAAGTACTGGAACACACCGCTCGTGAAAGCTTCGGGTCGCGAACTCTCCTCCTTGCTTCTGTTAGGAATCCATCTAGCATTTCTGTTTCCTTTCGTTGCGATTTCGAGACCATCTCCAGTCAAATGTTTCTGGCAATTTGTGCTTGGAAGTCTACCATTCACAATCTGCTTTGTGGCGATTGCTGTCAAGAACAACCGAACTTATCGCATATTTAATCCCAACCGTGTTATCACAGCACAGCTTTCGATGATTCGACCAAAATCCCAGATCTTGGTTTCGCTTGGTTTAATCACATTCCAGTTAATTCTGCTCTCAGCGTTGATGCTGTTAAATTTCCCACGAGACGAGTTGATTTACTCCGATTTCAAGACAATTAACTACGTGTGCATCACGTCGCAGGAACAAATGTTCCTATCCCATCTGTACAATGTATTACTCCTCGTGGCTTGCACGTACTACGGTTACAAAACTAAGAATATCCCAAGGAACTTCAACGAGGCAAAACATATAGCATTCGCTATGTACGGTCTCTGCGTATCGATGCTTGCATTTGGTGTAGTGGTTTTGTTGAATTCTCAATTTTCTAGCGATTATGGAGTGGTGGTTGAGATGATGCACAACAATCTTTTTGGGTTTATCATCATCGTGTGTTTTTTTGTGCCGAAGGTATATATCATTTTGTACAAGCCGGAGGAAAATGCGAACAATGTGACAGTGGCTACAAATTCGGTTATGGGGATAGAATCGGATGTTGTAAGAACAAGGGAACATCGAAGGTAGGAAAATGATAATTGTAATATAAATAGGTATGGTATGGTAAGGTGTGACAAGGTATAGTTAGGGCAAGGTCAGGCGAGGTGAGATAAGGCAAGGCAAGGCAAGGTATGGTATGGGTAAGACAAGGCAAGACAAGGTTAGATAAGATAAGGTAAAGGAAGGTAAAGTAATACATACATATATATCTATATATGTTCTTTTCTTTTATTAAACTAGATCTCATAATCAATTTCCAACAAATGGGATTGAAGTTGAAGAATTCAACATTAAAAAGGTACCAATAGTCATGTCAACAAAACTTTGTTTTTTTGTTTCATCATAGAGGTAAAAAAAGCTATAAAACGTCTATTTTCTAAACCAATGTGTACTGTTTCACACGCCTTATACCTTGCACTGTGTTGGGGATTTAAGACATTCTTTCCTTTTCAGGTCGAACCAGCCAACACGCATACAATGGAGGCAAAATAGAAGAAAAAAAAACCCTGAAAATTAGTGCGACTTATAATCTGGCTGTTAGATCTGTGCACTGGCTAGGTGACATATTTACCCAAATTAAACATTAAATAAAAAATTGTGAATTCTTTTTATTCATTTTCATTCCAAAAGCTGGCTTATACTATTGGAGTTTCTTTAATCAAAGTTTAAAATTAGTGTTCAGACTTGTCTAGATCAAAATTTCACTCAAAAGGGGAAAGGTCTATTGATCCAAGAAACTCTGATAGTGTAAACCAGTCTGAATATATTTTTCACAGCTATACATAAACCACTCCAGTCTATTTGTACAGGAATAGTTCTAATTAGATCTACTTAAATCAAATATATATGAAAATACTTTCTATTTTAACAATATCTCTTCTTCTGCATATACAAAGCACAAAAGTCCCGTTTCAACATAACACAACGAAAGAGTACAAAAGTTATGAAGCTCGTATCTTGGCTACGGTTCACATACAAAAATTATTTCAAATTATAGCTGAGCTACAATTGTCATTGATGTGTATATTTCACAATTAATTGAAACATGATATGCAACGAAAATATGGACATTACCACATATGAATGTTTGAGGAAAATTAATATTTCAAATAACGAAATCATTAATGAATCATGACATGTTCAACACACATAAATTGATTAGTTTTGATAAAGTTCCTCTCTGCTATCTAATAATTTTTCACCCCATATATCGCTTTAATATACATCATATTTTATATATTAGAATTTCTGCTAAGATAAAGGCTATTAGGATGTTAAAAGTGTAAAAGGCCTTGCTTCTTATATATCGCTAAAAACAGCCTGGGATGCAATGGGAACGAAAAAAGGACCGTCGAGTCTTTTCATGCAATGGACCAAATTTTGAAGGACATTGACATCTGTAACGATTCTCAAAAACTCAAGACTACACTAAAACATCACAATTACAACACTTAAGGTATATCTAACCTGCGAGCCAGGCTCTCTTACCAACATTTATATCTAAAACTCAACGTACAAATGTACCTTTATCAAGATCTAAAATATGTGCCTTGAGCCTACGTTGCCCAATAGAGGACAACAATTATTGATAGCAAACCTTTCAGCGGCAACACCTTGTCAACATACTTGATGTAGTTGGTAGTATTCGTCATTTATCACCCATCTGTATCCAGAAGTGAAAAAATGTACGATGTATAATCCGGACAACGAAAAAATTTGAAAATAGACAAAGATGTTATACTGTACATACGTTGTTATAAGTGTCCAAGATCCAAGGCATGATGAAGGTTTATGAGATCCTGGTGATTTGATATTCTCCAGAAAGGAAAATTCATCTAGATCAAAAAAATGTTGTTGTAAGGGTTGTGTTACCGGAACTCGGTCACTACAATGTGCAGTTGTTTGATTATAATTTCGCTTCAGTCACATGCGAGAAGAATACTGCTAGTTCGACTCCAGAGACATGAAAATCAGTATTAGTACTGTATGCGTACCTGTTTACTTGCCAACTCTTCGTCTCGTCCATCGCCGACAACAATATACGTACATTTTCTCCCAAAACGATTAACAATTCTTTCGAAACACGACTCCTTGCCTGTTAAAAGGAAAAACAGACTGTATAAAACATACGATTCAGGTATAAATTGTTTCTAGATTATTTACCATGTCTCTATAATTTCTACTCACCGACTTTAGCTGCACTATAGCTATTCTCAATTGGAAAAATCCCTCCCAAACCATAGAGTAAACACTTTGCCAGAGCTGGTACGAGTTGAGTTGTTGTCACCAGTAAATTCAAACAATTTGACCTGCCGAAAGAGAGACTAGGTGTCAGTCTGCTAACATAAAGCATGCCAACCAACTGCCACTCGTAACCTGACAAAGTTTGTTGCAGTAAAGATGTAAATTCCTCCCTACCTTGAATGAACTAGAGTAAGAGCTTTCAAAGCGAGTGTCAACCAAGAATCTGTTAGGGCCTCCATTTCCATTCTCAGCTGTAACCAAGTTTCTCTCTTCGCTGGACCAAGAAGACCTACATCCAGCATAATTTCATGTTTTAAACAACTTAAAGCCTACTCTTCACACGATGAAATAAGCGTAAACACAAGAAAAACAAACTTTTCCTTTCCTTGTGCTCATGCTTGTATGCTTATCTCACCCGTGTGATAATACATTTGGTACTTGTTTCAAACGTGAACGTTCTTGTCCTTATGCTTATTCATAGCCTATCGAAGGGAACATGGCTGTGAAACTCATTAGAATAACAATATAACTCATTATCTATGTTGGTCAACGTTTATTCATAAATCTGGTCCTTCACCATCACGTGTGTATTATTTTTTTACCCAACTAACCAATAGCAATGTTTTAGGAAAGTTATACCTACCCGTGACTCGAACAATAGCGAAACTGGAAATTGCTATTGGTGGATTTGGCAGAAATACACACGTGACGGTGAATAACCATATTTATGAATACACGTTGACTAACATAGATAATGAGTTATATTGTTATTCTAATGAGTTTCACAGTCATCTCCCCTTCGATAGGCCATAGCTTATTTTATCGTGCGAACCATATGGTTTTGATATAAACTAAACTATCTTCGTTGATACAGTACCAGTCACAGCACATACACAAACTATCATGACACAAACATCCTTACAAAGAGACTTTAACGAACGATAATTCTTACCTCCGACATTATTTCGATAGCTGTTGTAAATTTCTTTAATCCTTCGATAACGATACGCCAATTTCTTGGTCCAGTCCCCTCCGCGCATGTTTTGATTCAGACACATGTTCGCAGATGAACGGAATCCATCGTTTTCAAAGTTGTACGTGCTTCAGGAGTGATAAAAACGTGATGAATTTTGAGGGAAAATATGAAAGATTTTTAGCGAGACAAAATTTTTAACAAAGTTTTACTAATTTAATGCGACTTGGCAATTAAAACACAGATATACTGTGAGCCTTGTATTTTCTGTTTTAATGTGGTAAAAACATCACTTAAAATGTAGAAAATCGTTTTTAGGAGAGACCTAGAATAAAAAATTTTGGTGGTTCATGCCTCAAGGTCTCTATAGATAAGCCCCCTTGTTAAAATTTTAGGACTACACCACTGCATTTAGGAATTATTAAAAAAACGACATCTTGGGAATGACGATATCCTACCTGAGATCAATGCCATTATCGTCCGCAGCAACGTCATCGATATGAACCTGGTCACAATCCTGTAAAAAGGTGCACAACGCAAATAAATTCCACAATACATCATTTCATGCAGCATGTATGCATAGACAATCGAGAAAATATATTTTCATGACATTGTACACACGTAAAAGTCTCATATATTGTAGCAAGTCTGTCAACAAGCCGTCAACAAGTTGTATTCGCACTGCTTGTCCCAAGTTGTCAACTGACAAATTTGGAACAAGCTGTTAACAACTTGTAACAAGCTTGATTGCATTATCAGACTTGTTGCAAGGTTGTCCCAACGAGTCCGATACAGTCATGATATAACAATGTTGTTACAACCTTGTGTCGTCAACCTTGTAACACTCTTGTTCATCATGACTGTATCAGACTTGTTAGAACAACCTTGTAACAAGTCTGATAATGCCATCAAGCTTGTTACAAGTTGTTATAACATCTTGTTTCAAACTTGTTACAACAACTGGAACAAGCAGTGCGAACACAACTTGTCGACAGCTTGTGAACAGATTTGTAACAACTTGTTTGCAGACCTGGAACAACTTGTGCGATTTTACGTGTGTAATGAGTAACTGACCTCGAGATCGTGAAAGAATAAGTGCGTATCAGAAAGGCTGAAAATCATTTCCTCCATTCTTAAACCGATGGAAACAGTCGACGGAGCATCCTGAAAAAAGGGAAGAAACTTATCTTTATCATGTGTCAATAGTTTGGTATAGTTTTTGATTACAAGTCAAACTGACCTTCCCAAACTTTCCAGCATAAGATCCAGTCAGCAAAGAATGAAACAGAATTATAGTTTCATCTAAGTCCCAAATAAATATTCTCTGCAAATAAAACGGAGATTTAATAGTGGTAAATTTAGTACATTTTTATACAGGCATGAATTTATTGTTTAACAGGTATCTATTAGTATTCATACTCTGTAGTAAAGCAAGAATCGTCTGAATTTGTGGAGAAATCGGAGGTAAAAACCTCACAACTTGTCAACAAGATGTGTTCGCAACAGGCTTGTAGCAAGCTTGTCAACAAGTTGTAACAATGCTGTTATTTTATCAAATTGGTAAAAGATTGACACTCCCAACTTGTTGATAAATAGTTGTTGAATTGCAGGACGATAACAAGTTGTTGGAACAACTTGTAACAAGTCTGTTGAGTTCAACAATCTTGTAGCAAGTTGTCAACAAGCCGTAGACAACTTGTCAACAAGTTGGAAACAAGCAGTGTGAACACATCCTGTTGACGAGTGGTTGGAACAGCATTGCTACAAGTTTGCTGCAGGTTTGTTACAACTTGTGCGCTCTACCTCGATATTATGATCAATTTCTGGCCCAGGTCCCGAAGTTGACCGCCTGCCTCGACCTGAACCCTTGCCTCGACCGCGTCCAGCGCGACCACGTGATCTGTTGCCAGTGTTGTTGTTATGGTTACCATCACCTGCTGACGTGACTATATGCGAGGAGTCGACGACCTGAACATGACCAGCGGTAGAGTTTTGGACAAGAACGCCGGGATTCATTTCAGTCTTCACAGTCGAAGGTGACTGCGGCTGCGCAACGCCTGTCGTCATCTGTCCTGCGTACTGTATGTTACCTAGCAACAGAACATAGTGTTATTAACTCAGCACAGTCTCCGGGATAAATAGATGAATAGAATCATTTGACAAAAGTGCACAAATAGATGATAATCATCTACCCATAGGAGAAACCTAACCCCAACTCTAATCCTAATCTAATCTTAATCTAACCCTAATCTAATCTTAATCTGACACTAATCTAAACTTGTTGACCTTTTTTTATTATCATCCATTTGTGCACTTTTGTCAAATGATTCTATTCATCTATCCATAGGGGAAACCTAACCCTAATCTAACCCAAACTCTGACCCTAATCTAATCTTAATCTAACCCTAATCTAATCTTAATCCGACACTAATCTAAACTTGATGACCTTTTATATTATCATCTATTTGTGCACTTTTGTCAAATGATTCTATTCATCTAGTTATCCAGGAGACTGTGTTGATTAACTATATGTAAGTGACCACCCCGCCTCCCTCCACCCCGCTAGCTTCTCTCACCATCACTGCCGCCCCCCCCCCCCCCCCCCCCCCCCCC